TTGCTGTTGCGGGGCCGTGTGAGGATGCTCGTACCGTTTTGTCTCTTGCTATTTCCGGCGTTAGAAACATCGTCGAAAACCTGGGGGATATCTTCACTGTTCATGAAATACTCGTTTGCTACGTCTCAGAGTTATCCCTATTTGCGAAGACTCTTATTGAGCTTGATAGCAGTTTTCCAGACGATGATGGCATCATGGCCGCCTTGGATAAAGCCTTGAGCTGTTTGTTTAAGCTTGTAAATATGATGCCTTGGCATGATGTTTCATTTACTGTGGTTGCTGCAGCGGGAATGGAGGTGTTTAATACATTTTTGTCGGTCAAATTGTTGAACGCCCATTCCTCTGAGGAGGCAGAGCACTTTTCGGACACTTTTACAATGTCCCATATTTCCCTTTTAGGACACTTGGCTCGGTCGGATCCAGAGCAGGCCGCAGAGTCCTTATGCTTGTCATTGGAGGCACTGCAGGGGCGCAATGCCAACCTGGAGCAGCATCTGTCTGGATCAGATCGTCTCCAAGTACAAGAAGGTATTTGGCTGGTTTTGAAAATTATTGACGCCTTTCTGGCCGATGCCTGCGAGGGTGAGGAAGTTTCAATTCCCTCATGTTTTACCGGTGGTTTCAGGTCGGGGTCGCATCCGGTACTTAAAATTGTCTCCACACTCATGGTTCTTATGCAGGAGGTTGAGCAGAATTTATCTGTGGCAAGCCCTGCTTTAGTCTCATCCCTGTTGGAGGTGTTTGGTACATTCATTGGCGTTTACGTCACTGCAGATGATGGTGATGTTGCGGGAAATGTTTTTTTTGCTCAAGAATGCATTGCTGTCGTTTCGTATGTGTTTCACGCACTGCGTGCATTTTCTTTTGATGAGGACGTTACACTTTCCGGGTGCCGGGTGCTTGATATAAGTGTGAAAATAGAGGGCGTGGCTTTTGTTTTGCGCTCATCCGGGATTCTGCACACGGCGGAGGAAATGGTTACTTGTGGTCAACTTTTTTACGAGGACGTGCGAGGGCGGATCACCGGGTTTTGGATTCGGTGTATTTCTGAGGGCACTTTCTCGGAACGGATCGTCCCGGTTCTTCAGACTTTTGACATTCACGGAACGGATTTCACTTCTGTGGATGTCACTCTCTGTCTTGAACGGTGCTCATCGCTCGCCGGGTTGTTTGTCTCCCTGCAAGGAAGTGAGCGGCTGGCGTGGTGCTTTGCTTCACTCACAAGCCTCTGTGATCACGTGCTGTCGGTGAGTGTCTGCCGTTTTTACGAAAAGGAGGTCACCATTCGCACCACCGAGTTAATACTGCAAATGTTTTTGACCTGCTCCGTGGCACTGCACGGAGAAGAGGTGTTGTGGGTGCTTAGCAAAGTGCGCATGACGCTCGCCTCGGTCATCAATACAATTGCCGAGGACCCCACCTGGAGCAATGAGGGTGCCGAAGAAGAACAGCATCGGCTCTTAAAATTAATTTCAAGGCTTTTCTGTGAAGTTTCTCGCTGGGTGATGATGGAATGCACGCTTCCCTCGGATCTTCTGCATCCCTTAGGCACATCTGTCATCTCCTCCTTGTCGGGCTTCTTAAAACTGTTTAATGAACGCTCATTAAGCTTTCCAGAGTTACGAGAGTCTGTCTTCGCCGCATTTCAGCTCTGTGCCGAGGCTTTCACGCGTGATTTTGTGTCCCACACGGACTCACAGGTGTTTTTATTGACGATTTTGTTTGCATTGGATGACGAGTCGGTGGACGTGCAACGCGTTGGAATAACTGTGGCCGAAAGAGTGGTGACTTGTCTACGAGACTCGGGCCTGAAGGACCACGAGTTATTTGCACAACTCCTCTCGACAATTTTGCGGAGTTTTTTGCGGGGTAAAATCGCAGTCTCCTTTTCTTCTCAATTGGCACGGAGTCTCACGACGCTTTGCGGCTGTCTCCCCCCAGAATCCGTGGAATCGGTTCTTGGGGAGACGTTGAGGTTGTGTCCTGAGCCTAAACTGACTGACATTTTGCGAGGGGTGATGCGCGTTGTTCACGAGTGTGTTGTGAGTGAGGGGTCGTGTCGGCAAGCAGTTCTACGCAGTCTGGACGAATCTATTGCAGACGGTCTGTGTAATATTAGGAGTGTTCTTCTCGCTTAAATTGGCACTTTCTAATTGTGTGTGCTGTTATCAAATATATATATATATTTTGTGGGAAGGACGCTGGATGTTCATTGCAGTTTGCTCCTTTCTTCCCCTACCCTTCTTTTTTTTCTTTTTTTTTGCTTCTATGCTTTTAATAATATTTAAATAAATATATGCACATGTATGCACGTATGCCTTTTTTTTTTTTTTCTTTTTTCCTTTTTTTTTTTTTTAAATAAACCATGCACAATGTGTGTGGTCATTCTGACGGCCGGTTATTTATTTTTTAGGTGAAGAGAGGCATTTCCGTGTCTTGTCGCCGAGTTTTGGGGTAAGAGGTCTGTAGGGGAGCGTAACATCCGAGGCAGCAAAAATCCGAACCCAAATGGCTCTTCAACAGACAGCGTACAGCGCATGTTCACGCAAGGTGCATTGCGTGAGCAAACACTATCTGGATGACCCATTTGTCCACTTTTTTTCGCGGGACATGACGATAGTCAATAGCCCTCTTATGAATCGCGGAACGTGGCTCCGGACGGTCGCAATAGAACGTAGTGTGTTATCTTTTGCAAGGAACTGGTCTGCGGATGGTCCTTTGCAGGTGATCAGCTTTGGCTCGGGGGTTGACACGCTTTACTTCCGCCTGAAAAAAGATCACAGTGAAGTTAACATCGTGCGGTACATTGAGCTTGACTTTCCTGACCTGGTGGCAGAGAAGCAGAGAGTCATAGAGAAAACCGAACGGTTAAAACAACTGGTTGGGCCTGAGTATGAGTTAGTACCGTGTGACCTGCAGAAAACCGATGAGTTGCGGGAAATACTGAAAAGAGTTGCACGTAATGATGTTCCTACCGTATTATTGGCGGAAATGGTCTTTGTCTACCTGGAAGAGCGGACAACCACAGCAATCCTAGAACTGACGCTTAATGATGTACTCAAAAGAGATGTGTGTGTATTACTCATCGCCTATGACGCTATTCGTCCCAATGATCGTTTTGGAGAAGTGATGGTGAGTTCCCTTGCCTCTTCAGGGGTCCCTCTTCGTGGCATTAAGGAATTGCCTACGCCGGAAGCCCATGCCGAACGATGCAAGAGGGTGGGGTTAAAAAGTGTCATGGCGACATCCATGAGGCAACTTTATCTTTCTGTTCCACAGGAGACACAGGAATGGTTGAAGAAACTTGAAATGGTTGATGACTGGGATGAGTGGTGCATTATGCATGATCATTACTGCTTTGTCCTTGCAACAAACAAGGCGGAGGCTTTACCAACAATTTTCTAACCCTATTTTTTTTTCTCACCTCCGCTTTATTTCTTTAGCACATGCCCCGCGCTGCCCTTTACGATACACATCTTTCTTGAACCACTTCATTATGTATGCATACAGATGATGGGTCTCATGAATTTTGTACTGTAATGCCTCAATTCTTGTTCTTCTTTTCTGGTTGTTTTTTTGTGTGGATGGGTCTCGCCTTTAGTTGTTACTTTTAACGCATTTTTCGTAGGCTGCCATTGACACGTTAGATCGATACAACCCGCATTTGTAATTGCATCCAAAACAAGCAAACAGAAAACAAAATTATATTATTTTTATTATAGACTATGTCTTTTGAGGAGCTGAGGTTAAAGGGAAATGAGGCCTTTAAGGCGAAGAAGTATGAAGACGCCATCGATTGTTATACAAAGGCGATTGACATGAGTCCTGAATCGGAGGTTGCTGCTGCGTTGTATTCAAATCGTGCGGCTTGCTGGCAAAATATGGGGAATGCGGCGAATGCACTGAAGGATGCGGAAAGCTGTATTCTTTTGAAGCCATCCTGGCTAAAGGGATATTACCGAAAAGGGTCGGCACTTGAGAGCATGCAGAGGTATGACGAGGCGCTGGAAGCATTTCAGCGTGCTTCAAAACTGGAACCTGAAAGTGAAGAAATTTCAGACAAGTTGCAGAGGCTGGTCCTCATTCTGAGGGGGCGCAACGAGAAGGCGACTCCCGAGGGCTGTAGGACCTCTGATGAGGCCAGGAGAATAGGCAACTCCATGTTTTCCGCTGGAAATTTTGAAAAGGCAATGTTGTTCTATTCTCGTGCCATTGAGCTTTCCCCCGATGGGAATGGAGAATTGGCTAATTATTATGCAAACCGTGCGGCTTGCCATCAGCCAACGCGCAATTACAATCTTGTTATCAGGGATTGTGACAAAGCCCTTGAGATTGATTCTACCCATGTCAAGGCACTTATGCGTCGCGCTATTGCGTATGAGGGACTAGAGGAGTGGACCAAAGCGCTGAATGATTATAATCAGGCTAACAGTTTATTTCCCGGGATGGCGGCTGTGTCACAGGGCGTTCTCAGGTGTCGGCGTGCATTGATGCGCTAACAAATATTGTCGGATTCACATATCTATTTTTGTTTTTGTTTGTGTTTTTACCCTTTTGCCAGTAAATTTAATAAAGTGTGGTTTTTACGCACACAAATTGCGTCCAGTTTCTCCGCTGGTTGGGTGGAATGTCTTGAATGATACAGGACCCTCTTCTTTTTTTTCCCCCCATTGTTTTTTTTTTGATTGTTTGGCTGCGAAGCATTTGTAAATAAAAAAAAAGTGCGTCAGTGTTTTTTCTCCCGTTGGGGTGGGAGAGTGGGGCAGTGCGAATGCGTACCAAGAGGAGACTCTTGTACCTTCCGGATGAAGAGGCCACACTTCTGGGAGATCTCACGGACTCACCGCGCCCACGCCCCTCCCGTCTCTCTCGGCTAGCAATTTTTTCTTCGGACGATGAGAAAAAGGCTGCTTCAGTGGATGACGGCACAGAAACTCCGGGCGCGGAGGTGGTGGACCGTGCATTGCTCGTTTCTTACAACAGTTTTGCGCTGGCTGATGGGTCAGGTAATTTTCGTCGACCAATGACAGCTGGAGAGGCCATGGCGCTTTATAGATCTCTTCGGAAGTGTTGCCGTTTTCTGCGCACTTTTTTGCAAGAAAAATCGATGTCTGAAACATCAACGGATTCTTTATCAACTTCTACTTCTGAACCTAGTGAGTCTTCCGATTCCGAGAGTGAGTCCGAGCCTCGTCAACGGTGGCATGGGCGGCGTCCTAAACAAGCGGAGACTTTGATGACAAATGGGGAAAATTATGCCGGAATGACTGTTGCGGAGCTTCGGGAACTCCTGAGAACGAGAAATTTGCCGATTTCTGGTCCCAAAGCCCTTCTTGTTTCTCGCCTCCAGGGAAATGATGAAGGAGCATCTAAAATGGAGGAAGACGGCCAGTCTACTCTAATGGTGTCTGAGCGTGGCAACAACGAAAGTTCCGATGCAAATTCTTTTTTTTCCATAGAATCCGAAGTTGCAAAGTCCTCTCAGAACGTGTGGAGTGCTATCGTTAATATGGGATCGAGACTTTTCCGTAAATCCACTGGTTCTCTTCCTGAAGAGAATAAGAATTTGTATCGCAAGCGTCAACGAATTGAATAGGTTGCCTTATTTCATCTTTTTGTGCGTTTTTTTTCCTTTTTTTTTTTCATTGGTGTTTGCTATTCTTATCTGAGTATGGAGTTTATTTTGATTTTTTCTTTTTATTTCTGCTGTGGATGGTTCTCCAGATGTAAATGCGTTGAATTGCTTGCTCCTCATTGTTTTTTTTTTTTTTTTTTTTTTTGCGCTTTTGATTCCTCATGACAAGATCCGAATTCACAACAATGAGTTTCCCAGAGCCATTTGTCATTGGTCTTGACTTTGGCTCCGATTCGGCGCGGGCTGTTCTTGTTCGGGTATGCGATGGAAAGGAGGTTGCTGTGGCTGTGGAGCCGTATCGCCGTTGGAGCGATGGCAAATACTGCGATCCATCAAAAAACCAATATCGTCATCATCCTTTGGATTATATTGAGGCCTTGGAAATTGTTGTTTCTCGGGTCTTGGACCAAGGACCACCTGAGGTAAGAAATCATGTTGTGGGGATGGCATGCGATACCACAGGCAGCACACCATGTTTTGTGGATGAAAAAGGTGCTCCACTGGCCCTTCAGGAATTGCTTTCAGAGAACCCGAACGCAATGTTTATTCTTTGGAAGGATCACACTTCGGTAAATGAGGCAATGGCAATAAATGATTTGTGCAAGAAATCTTTGGTGGATTACACAATGTACTCGGGGGGGACTTATTCTTCAGAGTGGTTCTGGTCCAAGGCTCTGCACGTGCTCCACCATGACAAAGCTGTTCGGGAAAAGGGCTACGCCTTGTTGGAGTTATGTGAATGGATTCCTGCACTTTTAACAGGGGTTTCTTCTTATGCTGAAGTGGTAAGAAGTCG